CGTGAATCTCGCCACACCCGCGACACACGTAGAAGCAATGATCCCCGGGATGACCTTTCTTGCCACACTTCTCACAGACCAGATGTTTCCAGCATCCAGATTCAGTGTGCTTCCGGGATCCGCACTGCGAACACCTGACTTGTGCTGCCCCGTCCATGAGATCTCGGGATCTGTACATCCCACGGTCCCCGGGTACGGTATCCCCCGGTCGAGAGTTGTCTCCTGTCTTCGCCGTTCGATCGTTGGACGCAGTGAGACAGACTCGACGGTAATCTTCAGGGTCGGAGTCCGAGTCGTCGGATCCTGACTCAGTTCCTGAGTCAGGCGCCGTAACTTGGTGGACACGTCGAGCTGGGGCTGTGGGCGTCGGGGCCTTTTGGCGATACTTGCCGGATCCGACCGCCGCCTTCTTCTGGCGGTGTTTCGCGCGATCCACCGCCCGCAGCACTTCCTCAAGCTCGTCTGCGTCGGGAAGTCGTAACAGGGTCAGCCTGTCGGCCAGATCCACGTCTCCCAATGTCTCGATGAAATGATCCACGTGTTCCCGCAGTACCTTGGATCCCCCATCCTTGATCTTCAACTTGGCCCGTAGACCGGCCACATTCAGTCGATGTAGGTATTCCAGCGGGGATTCATCCGATCTGCGGCGAGCATGGTAGTATTGTCGTGCCACCGACACTCCCAATCCACAGTACTGGGTCTGGAAACTGCGCAGCAAATCTGGCCACTTGTTCCTGGTGGATCTGCCCAGCTGCCGATACCAGTTCCTGGCTGGCCCCGCTAGCAGATCCCGCAAAGGTCAAACACTTCTCAGCATCCGACGCTTGATCTCTCATGAGGCCGACTTAACTTTGCTGATCCATGTTCTCGCTCGGTCCTCATCTTTGATCCTTGCCCGTGAACTCCTTCAGGTCCGATATGGCTGAGATCCGTACTCTCTGGATCATGGACGATCCAACTGCCCCGGCTGTGGCTGTTGCTACCACTGCTGACGAAGTGAATGGGCCCTCCAGATCATCTGGGTCGAATTCATCATGCGAGTTGTCTCCCTCAACGGACTCCATCTCCACGTCCCGTGCTCCATGTTCGTGAAGCATTTGCACTTGGGGCACGGGCGCTCTCATACCCTGTTCGTCCAGGAAACGACTCATCGCGGCTTCGAAGTGTCGCTGCAGGGTGCCCGAGGAAGTGTCGGAAGAGCCTGTGGCCGTCTGTTCCACTGGCGAGACAGGATCCGTGAGGCGGTTACCTTGAGCCCGATCTGACGATAACCCCACTGGCTTCTTGCCGGATCTGGCTCGATCCTGGCTGGATTGTGTCAGATCACGCGTAGGGCGTACTGGGTCCTGAGCCTTCGCGTTCACAGGGGCTTCCTGTCCTCGGATCCTCGCCCGCGCTTCCAGCATGGATGCCCCGGAGGGTCCTAAAGTCATGCGTCGTGGTTCGGACGACGTATCTGACTCATCCTCAGCGGCGGATTCGTAGTTCGAGGACGCAGCTTGGCTGATCCTCGGTGACGACACTGGATCCATAGTACGCGACCTTTCTCCGGTGATGGACTTAACTCTGGCAAAGAGGTCCCGCGTCGCGAATACTATGAGATCCAGGTCTAGCTCGAAGATATCCTCTGCGTCGAACACACCAGCTACGATGCCTGACTCCGTAAGCAAACGTAATAGATCTTTGACTGCCACCAACTTGTTCGCCGTTTTCGTTGGTGCTCTCACCGGTTCCCTTGGATCTTCGATTTGTCGTGGATTCAGGATCTGCATGACAGGATCTTGATGCAGGAAATCGCGTAGAGCTTGGTGGCGATACACAAACTCGAGATCCTTGTCGGACCAGCTTGACCTGGATCCAGCTTGGCCTTCTTCCGACTCTGGAGCTTGCATCTTCTTCCGCGTAGTCTTACTCGTTTTCGTCTTCTTTCTTGTTTCTTCGACTAGCGGGCTTGGGTTTAGGTACGGTGTTGGCTTAACCGGTGAATCTGCAAATGCATACCGTTTCGCCTTCACTTTCCCTTGTTTTGTTAGCGGATCTTGACTTGCGTCAAGATCCGCAGGGGTCCCCGAGGGGACCTGGGGAGGATAGAGAGGTTTCTCTTCTAGATCCGGATCCGGATCCACCTCTCTTCCGTCAACAGAGTTCCTCCCAAAACTCCATCGATCCGCGGATCTTGTTTCATTCAGCAGCGTCTTCGTCGATCCGACCTCCGACGACGCCTCTTCCCCTGGCTCAATCTTCACTTGAGCATCTTCTTGGGACTCACGGTGAAATCCCGAGTCACCAAAAGATCCGGGCACGCGCACCATTGTGGTGTAGCGGGATCAGCAAAATCTGCGAGATTGCTGGATCCAACTTACCAACTGCGCCCAGACACCGACTAACGGAGGGGGTCCCCCGATGATCCGTGTTCTGCTGAACTTTCCTCACCTTGTGTACCCGTCGGTAGGGCGGGATCTTGCTCTCTCGGTAACTTCCGAAGAGTTCAAGTGGTGAAGCTTGAGTGTCTTGGCGAGACGTGGGGATGGGGGGGAGCAGCAGTGGAAAATCTTCACTCTGCGTCCGTGGATTGTTCCGAATCCGAAGCTAATATTCGAGCTTATGGATCCAAGGCCTAGATCGTGGATCTGGCCGTAGGGTTTGTCTTGCGGGTGTGTTCCCTTGCCTTTGCGTTTTCCTTTGCGTCGTACTTGCCGCCTCCTGTGACGGGATCTTGAGAGTTGAGAGCCTCTAGGGTGTAACCGACCAAGTAGTAAATTCGGTTAACCTGTCGGATCTGCACAAGTAAAGGAAAAGCTCACTAGGTTGTAGGATCTGGCCAATGTATTATCCAGTTATCACTACCAACACCAGATTCGCAATTCCCAACGTTCTCCGAGCTCGTACGGCCAATGTGGTTCCGGTTCTTGAGGGTAGGAAGGCACTTGCGTGTTACTGTGCAAATTAGGTTCTGTATTGATACTTAAGCCTATACCTGCCTGGATTTCTACCTTCTATGTCTTTCACTTGTTAAATCCTTTACCAGGCTCGGCTGCATGTCCCTTCTTCTCTTGACCCATCATCCCAGCTGTATTATCTTCAGATCCACCGGATCCATGGCGTAATCATTACGGTCACCCTATTATGGGTACACTCATCCGGATCCAGGTCGCTTGGATCCACTTCACTGTAAGTGTACACTCGTCGTGGATCTGAGCTCTCCACTCATCCAACCTCATCTCGCCACCGTCTGTGATCCCCATTGTCCCACGAAAGTTCGAGATCCACTGCATCCATCATCCCTATACCCTGGATCCAGGTCCCTCAAGACGGGATCCTCCCTCCATGGATCCGAACTCGGAAGTATGGGATCCGGGGTACCTCGCGGTGGATCTTGACTCCTCATTAGCCGTGGCTACTAGATCCACCTTCAGAGGGCACCGACCATCCTTCCTTCATTGGATCCACACCCGATCCACTCTTGTATAGTATATCCCATATCCATTTAAGTGAATCCAGGTAAGGGTGGATCCGAGGTAAGTCTTGGTGGATCTTGCCTTCTCGTACATCGCTCATACCAGATCCATCGTCATTTCCTACGGGGTGCTGCTCGTCATGGCTAATCCACCACCGGCAACTTGCATCCGTGCCACCAACCCAAATCCTCGCTAATCACTTGAAATTGTCACTGATTCGGGATAGTGACCCCGCGTCAGGCCCATTCTCTTATTTCTGAGAAAGCACTTCACCACACTACGTGTCGGCCTCCAAGACAAGAATGTCACCGTGGCTTCTGCTCGCGGGACTTTCGACGCTATTCTGGAGGACTATCCGGAGATGAGCCATCACCTTGCACAAGACGCCTCCATTGTACACGATCCTGTCTTCGAAGCAGCAATAACGAAGGTCCTTAACGACACCACACGAGATTTGCAACCAGAGAGAAAGCAGTTTGAAGTTGAAACAGCCCCCCCCCGCGTCTAGACGCATTGTACACGGCGAAATGGTCGACTACTACCACCAGATACAAGAACGCAAGCGCCTGAAAATGACTAAGACAACGGCATATGAGAACCCCAGCTTCATGAAAGGAACATCCGTAGCAGTTGAGAGGTTGTTTAGTGCAGCTAAATACGTGATGACGGACCGCCGATCCCGCCTGACTCCTGGCATGTTTGAAGCCATTATGTTTCTCAAGGTAAACTAGGATTTCTGGAACTCACGTCTTGTTGCCATAGCGATAAGGAAGTCACACGATGGTGAGCAAGTGTTAGTCGCGATTACTTAGTGCAGCTGAGTATTGCAGGATTTTTTTGCAGTTTATATTGCAATCTCATCGGTACCCGCAATATAGCATTTTGATTGCATTTTTTTTCGGCGGATAAACCAATTTATTTTTTCCCTTCCACCCTGCAACCTTAGCATCATTGGTGTGACTGGCACCCCTTCGTCCCGTAGGTCCCCGACCCAGCGAACAAGTTTCAACTCTACTGAGTAAGGTAGAGCGGTAGCTACACCACTACAACGTGCCTTCATCTTCTTGGCTTCTTTAGGGACTGTACACGCAGCGACGATCACGCCATGAATAAATGAGGATACGGCGGCAATTAAATTTGCTTGCTGGTAAATCAGGGTAGAACTTGTGAATTGCAAACGCAATACTACCGTTCTCGTCTAGATACTCTAGTACCCTCAGCTTGTGAGAAGCAGTGTACGCCGTAATGGTGTTCGTTGGTGCTTGGCGGCCCTTGCCACCAGGTAGGCGAGGCCTCCCCTTTGGGCGTTTTCGTTGCGTTGGACTCATCTGCGGCTTTGAGAGGTGAGACCAGTACTAGATAATGTACTGTACGCAAATTACTGGTTGTCAAGTCGTGTAATTGATCACTAAGGATGCACGGCACTCAGCGTTTGGCGGCTTCTGATTGGCCACATTGAAGTGTAATTGATAACAAAGAGTAATTCATAACTAAGATTATTCGGTACTATTATACCTGTACAGTACCGGTATTGCAACATGTACGAACGGTAGCCCCACGTGTGGGCGAGTATTTTTGCTGTCAAACGATGCTGCGCTGCTCTAGTTCGCTATCTACGCCGCTGCGCCGCGCCTTCCACGCGTCTGCAGGACGCCACGCCATCCAGACGGTTAATGTTCCGTCAATGGGAGACTCTATCAGCGAGGGTACGCTTGTAGAGATCGTCAAAAAGGCTGGAGACGCCGTGCATGCCGACGAAGTGGTGCTCGTACTGGAGACCGACAAGGTGTTCACTATTATTGAAATTTGTTTAGTGTGGCACTGATACACTAACGCTTTGACTGCCCGTACCGCCAGGTAAGTGTGGATGTGACTAGCCCTGTGGCTGGCACCGTCGTGGAAGTGTTGGCCCAGTTGGAGGACAACGTCGAGGTTGGTAAACCCCTCTTCACGCTGGACGACGCGTTGGCCCCCAGCGGATCCAGCGCATCTGCACAGACATCCACTTCCTTATCACTGGATACTGAACCGACTGCTGCTGTTGCTGCTTCTTCTGTGGCATCATCTGGGAATCGCGTACCGCTGATCAAGTTCCTAGGCAAGCGCTCGTTGCTGCCGCAGAAGCCATCACCGCTATTGAAGCCGCTGGGGACACTGCGCTCTGTGCCTGTGCATCCGTCCAGAGCTGATGTTCTTCCCTTCAGCAGTGCGAAGCACTTGCCGCTGTCACCCGCTGAAGTGGAGTCGATCAACTCGGGCCTCGCGTTTTTGTAAGGTTGTGATCATGCGATGAGATACTGTTGATAGCTCTTGGAAGTAGCCTGCAGTCGATAGCACTACAATACTAAGTAAAAAGGACGACAGCACTGAAGGACGGTGAAAGCCTATTCAAGATGAGTATACACAAAGCCTTACGCATGCATAGAATTGCTGTTTCTTTTAAGCTGCGATGGCAGCCGCTGCCGATGATCGTCATACGGAGACAACTGCGGCCGCGGCGAAAATTTCGTGTTGTGGACATACGCCGCCGCCGATAGCCCATTCGTTGCAGCCCGGTACGGTACACTTCTTACCTCCACCGTGTCGTTTGCACTTCCCTCCGCCGCGGTTCGTCGACTTGCAGCCCTCAGTCTTGCAGCGCCCTCCACCGCCGTGCCGAATACAGTAGCCGCCACTATTATTTTTGCGCGTGCACTCCGGAAAGCTACAAGGCTTCGAGCCACCGTGAGCCTTGCATAGTCCACGGGCCTGGCCGAGACGCTCGCACCCTTCCACTGTGCACCGGGGTTTACCACCATGAGCACAGCATCGTCCAAATCGGATCTAAAAGTGGTAAGATACAAGTGGATGGCCAGTTTAGCAAACAGCTCTGCGAGTTGAGCAAGAATGGCTCATACCTGTTTCTTGGAGCAGTCTGGGAAGGTACATGTGAAGCCACCACCGTGGGCAAGGCAGTATCCACCTCCTTGGTCGTGTTTGTCGCACCCACGACGCGTGCAGCGCTTGCCGGTGCCACCGTGTTGTTTACACCGACCACCATTAAGTGCCCAACTGCGGCAGCCTTCAGCTTGGCATCGTCTACCGCCGCCATGCAGCTTACAGCGGCCTCCACCAACACAAGGTGTCGTACACCCCTCAACGTAGCACTTCTTGCCTCCACCATGGGCAACACAGAGACCGCCGCCCTTGTCCTTCTTCTTACATCCCTGCATTTTGCACATGTAGCCACCGCCGTGGGCCTTGCACTTCCCCTGGCCTCGATCATACTTCTCGCATCCTTCAACCTTGCAGCGCGCTCGTCCACCGTGTCCACTGCACAGACCGTAGCGGATGGCCTTCTTGGTGCAACCGTTCGTCGTACAGTCTCTACCTCCTCCATGAGCCAAACAGAGCCCTTGTCCAGCGTCATATTTGTCGCATTTCTTAACAGAACATTTCCTGCCTCCTCCATGAGCACAGCACAGTGCTGACGTGCCCTGGGCCACTCGAGTGCAGCCTGTAACTCCGCAACGTTTAGATCCTCCGTGGTCTGGACACGTGCGTAAGTTAAAGAAGGCACAGAATGGTGTCTGGCAGCGGTATCCTCCGCCATGGGCGATGCAGAGGCCGCCTCCCTGAGAAAACTTGGGGCAGTTCTTGAAGCGACACTGGTACCCGTGTCGGTCTGCTGCCGACGTTCCCGAGCCCTCGGCATCTGTGGTAGTCTCTAGATGAATACTATTCGCCTGGACTGCTTGCACGTCTATAGTCGTCGTTTCCTGGGGCTGCAAAGCGTCTTCCGGTTGTTTCTCTGTCTCTTCGCGAGGTTCTAAGCTTTGCTCTGGTGCGACTTCTTCCTCATCGCCCCGAGACAGCATTGGCATGACAAATGACGGGGGTAGATCAGAGCCTTCTATCTCATCATTCTCGTCGAGCTGTTTCTCGCTCTTCGTGCCGCCAAAGAACGCGACCGACATCTCCCGCCCTTCCTCAGCCGGCATGGAAGAATATCATCATATTTATCCGACCTCACTTAAGTTTAGTATCAGCATTAATGGCCAATCATATATTAATTTGTTTTGGATAACCAATAATATCCAAATAATATGTCAGTCTTGGCCAATCAATCCATAAAGGGTTAGGTTGGTCATCTAAACTTTACATCAGACGTATCAGGTCCGCGTAAAAATGTGTTTTCCCTTACAAATATTAAGATGCCGGCGCATATTTTCATTTTATCCGAATGCCATAATCATTTCGGTACAAACGACTCCGTGCCAACTGGGGCAACTCTCTCAGCCAATCAGAAGCGCTTATTTTTGTCCCAGTTGGGCAACTGGGGTAAATTTATCCCTGTCAAATTTGATTTTAACTGCTTTATCGTTTTTGCAGAATTCTAGGGCCCAGCACTACCAGTGATTTATTCGAGAACAGTGCGTATACAACGAGCATGGAGGGAATGCCCGATGAGCTACGAGCTCTCCTAGGAGATACAGACTTACTTGCGAATACAACAATCTCTACAGAGTCGCATGCTGCGATATCGGACGTGGAGTCCTATCTTAGCGTTAGTCCTACTCAAAATGAGGCGACGATGAAGGAGGCTGAAGCGCCCGTTGCTAAGAGAGGCTTACACTGACTGCGGAGGAGGTACTAGCTAAATGCATGCTTTGGAGACATTGCATCAACACAATTGCTATTCTCGTCAAAGAATTGTTCCCCGCCGTTAAGTCCCTTGTAGATATTCGTCACAAACTTCTACCATCAGCTTCACCAATCGCAGCAACTAATAGTGATAGTAACACGATCAAGAGAACATTGATTTCTTCCAAACAATCTTCGGTCATTGCTGCTGGTTCTGATGTCGCCAGCTGTGGTGTAGTGATTTGTCCATAGTTGCTGGTAATCGCCCGTCGACAAAGACGCGACACCGATCCCAACCACCACCGAGGGTTCGTACCATAGATGGTCAGTTCTTGACCGCTGAATGCGAATCCGGCCAGTCCATTATTAATAATAAGGAGAGCCTGGATTCAGTGACATGTGGACCGTATTCCAATATCCATTAGTTCGGTAGTGTGGTGTAGTGATTTCTCCGTAGTTGCGGATTATCACCCGTCGACAAAGACGTGACACCGCCCAAGATGTTCAAGCGACGAACCCTCGGTCAGGTGATGTACGGAGACGCCAAGGTGCCAGGGACTCGACGGCGTCACTCCCGAGCTTTCAACGAGCATTGGATACGGGCATATGTCACTGAATCCAGGCTGTCCTTATTATTAATAATGGACTGGCCGGATTCGCATTCAGCGGACCATCTACGGTACGAACCCTCAGTGGCGGTTGGGATGAGTTCGCGGAAGACTCAGCGACCCTTGGAAGGCACGTTCACCGTCTGGGACAAGGCGCGGACCGTTAAAGATGCTCATGCGACGGTGCAGGCGACGCTTGGCATGCAAGAAGATCCATAACGGATCATTGTTCACTTGATATTTGTATACTTGATTAGGACTTTTTATTAGGAATAGACCCGAAAGGGTAAGCTTAAATACAGAAAAGAATATCCACTCAAGCACACAGAGCGACGTCCGGCTTCAAGGTAAGCGTCAGGTCAAGCTTGTTTGAGTGTGTTATGCCTGTTGGTGAACTCGAAGCTCTGTAGCGAGGGTTCATCCGGCAAGGCCAAGAGACTTTGTGTATTGGCCGATTATTATCGGGAGGTTTTACGTGACGGCTTATTGTTGCCTATTTGCACGACTGGGAGTGCTTTAATTGCCTCCCTTTTATTCTTCCAACCGAGTGTTGAACACTCGGTGATCTCGTAAAAGGCTTACCCGTGCCTGGTACCCTTTCGCTGTTGGGACCACGAGGATTCAAAACACCTGCTAGCTTTGCTCGTGCTAGTAGCGTGTTCTTATTTTTACTGGTTGGCCTATATAAGTAGTTTACAAGGTCCAGTTTGTCCCGGCGCAAGGGCAGAACTGGGGTCTTCAGGTCCGCCCGAACGATCGTTACTATCCTAGTAGACGTATTGTTGTGGTAACATCCTAACTACGTTTGTAGCTAGAGTTCACGTGGGATTTCCAACACCACAGTAGTGACGCCGTCGAGTCCCTTGCACCTTGGAGTCACCGTACATCACATGACCGAGGGTTCGTCGCTTGAACATCTTGGGGAGTTCGCGAAAGACTCAGCGACCCTTTGAGCACGTTCACCGTCTGGGACAGGGCGCGAACCGTTAAAGATACTTATGCGACGGTGCAGACGACGCTTGGCGTGCAAGAAGATCCATAACGGATCTTTGTTCACTTGATATTTGTATACTTGATTAGGACTTCTTATTAGGAATAGACCCGAACGGGTAAACATAAATACAGAACAGAATTTCCATTCAAGCACATAGAGCGACGTCCGACTTCAATGTAAGCGCCTGGTCAAGCTTTTTTTGAGTGTGTTATGCCTGTCGGTGAACCCGAAGCTCTGTAGCGAGGGTTCATCCGGCAAGGCCAAGAGACTTTGTGTATTTTGGCCGATTACTATCGGGAGGTTTTACGTGACGGCTTATTTGTTGCCTATTTGCACGACTAGGGTGCTTGTATTGTATCACTTTTATTCTTCCAACTAAGTATCGAACACTCGGTGATCTCGTAAAAGGCTTACCCGTGCCTGGTACCCTTCCGCTGTTGGGACCTCGAGGATTCATAACACCTGCTAGCTTTGCTCGTGCTAGTAGCGTGTTCTTATTTTTACTGGTTGGCCTATATAAGTAGTTTACAAGGTCCAGTTTGTCCCGGTGCAAGGGCAGAACTGGGGTCTTCAGGTCCGCCCGAACGATCGTTTACTATCCTAGTAGACGTATTGTTGTGGGAACATCCTAACTACGTTTGTAGCTAGAGTTCACGTGGAATTTCCAACACCACAACTGGTGCCGCGACCCGGGAACAGATTGTGACCATTGTGAACTGTTTGTATGGCCTCCCAGTTTACGAGCAACCAAGAGAAGAAGAACAAGAAAAAGACAAGAAACATGGCGAAAGGACAACCGACGGTACCAGTTACGCCTGCCAAGTCTGGCGGGGCTCGCAACAAGAGTTCAAGCCCGGCTGCGCGCTTTGCAGCCGCACCGAGCTTTCAGTGAGCTTCGACGACGAAGCGGACAGCGGACCTGACGCCCACGATTATGAAGATTACGAAGACAAGACGCCGGCCCCAGAGCCAGGCGCAACGACGCCGGAGACGGCCACGCTATCATCGGGGCTGAGCGGGGCGACCAGGTCCCTTTCGAGGAACCTCGCCGACGAGCTCGATGATGTTGCGGGACCAGAACCGGCCTACGATGATTATGACGATGGGACCGAGGGTTCTAAGCCTTCGGTGGCGAGTGCGAAGCATTCAGCACTGCTGAAGGCACCTCGCCCACCTATCAACGGTGATACACCAGCCGCCAAGCGCGTTTTCGACCGCGTACAAGCGCTGATGCAGAATGATGAGTGGATGCAGCTGTTCAAGCCCATCTCCAAGAAAAAAGCCGACTGGCCTGCGCTTGCGCAGGAACTTCAATACCCAGTCAACTCGGGTTCGACTAGCCAAGTTGCCGAGGATTCAGTTTCGCTACTGTTGTCGCTGGGCTTCGAGAACGAGACGTACCCATCAACGATGTCGCTCCAAGATTGGAGTCCACATGAAGCCGGAGCTGCTCTCCAGAAATGGAAGAAGAAGCTTCGGAAGGCGTTTGGCGCTGTTGGCATTAACGCTGGAAAGCAGCCGGTGAGTCGACCGCTGATTCAAGATGAAGATCCGTCCAAGATTCCACTGCCACCGACGCCCCAACGACTCATTCGTACTCCTCCGACCAAGCGTGGAGCTGAGCGTGGTGCCTTTGGCACTACCGAAGCTTCACCGTATTTTCAAGACTCGCACATGGTTACGCCACGTTCGGAGAGCCGTATGCAACGTATTTACGCAAGCAACGAGGGTTCGTTCGGTCGCCGAGGCGGTGCGCGAGCTCCCAAAGGTGGTGCCGGACGTCGTCAAGTCGACAGCGATGGTTCGCCCAGTGACGATGACATTTTGGTGCGTACATTCGACGAGGAAGATCCTCAACTCGAGTTGATGCGTCAGATGAATGAGCTGGCGACGCTGAACGACGTAGACCCGACACCGAGGATTGAAATGGCTTCGCACCGACCGCTGGATCGCATCACGCCGTTTTCAGGCTCTCGCAACAAAAGCGAGAGCTGTATGCAGTGGCTCCGTGGGTTCGTCTATGAAATGACTGGAACCCACACAGATGCCGATAAATAGTGCATTCCATTTGAGCTAAGTCTCCGGGACGGAGCCATTCATTGGTTCCGTCAACTTCCAAAGAAGACGAAGCGCAAGTGGAAGCTGCCGAGCGATGCGTTCATCCGCTACTACTGCTCGCAGTTCACTCAGACGGCACTGTCGCGTTACTACTCCGCCAAGCGGGAACGTAATGAACATCTGCGCGACTACATAAACAGGCTGAATGGTTACGCTCGGACCGCCCGTCTACACTTTGAGAAGAGTGGTCGCGACGCGAAAGAACACGTACAGCAGTTCCTGGCAACATGCGATGATGACAAGCTTGCGGAGAGTCTTAACCACGCTCGAGTCGCCGACATTCACGAGCTCGAAGAGATCATCGAAGATGTTCTCAAGGGCAAGGAGAGAGTGGCGTAGCGTGACAGTGAGTACCGATACTCCAAGAGTCGTGATACGCGACGCGACGATGGGTACGCCCGCAACAACCGGCGTGATGACCGTCGCCGCGATGACAACCGAAACAAACCGAGAGTGACGCTCATTGAAGCGACCTACTAGCTGAATTAGAAGGTCGTGAAGCTGCTCAGGGAGGCAGCGAGTATTCAAACGAAGGTCCGAACGCTTACGACGATGTCCAAGATGAGTACAACGACTTTCAGCCCGATAATACGAACGGTGATTTCTCATTGGATGAAAATGACCGATACCTCGCCGC